TCTTATTTTTACCCAAGCAGGGCCCTGACCTTGGCATAGCAGATCTGTCTAGGCTGAGAGTTTAACCTCCATTGAAATTTGGCTACTCTAATGCTAGTTCCTGGGTCTTGACCTCAACTTTCTCAGCTCTTCTCTTGAAGGACATGAGAGCTTCTTTATAGGCTACTAAGGAGAACCTCAGCCTTTCACCCCAGCTTATCTTTTTTCTAAAGTCTCAACTGAGTTAGAAAAGTCACCCAATTCAATTGTCTTTAAAGTTAGTATTTCCTTCATATTTCTGCAATGGTGGAAACTAGCACCAGCTAGTGTATTTCCTTCCACATACACCATACAAATTCATTACCTGTGATCATTTTAATACCTACACTACCACCTTGTGCCAAGAGCTATATGTCCTCCAGGAAGCAGACACTAAGATGGAGATTACCATGCAGGAGATTTATTACAGAGTGTCCTTGGGTTCAACACTTGTGGAAGGGAAAGGAAGGAAACAGGATTGAGTAGAAGGAGAAACTGAGATGTGATGCCATCTAAATGAAGCTTCAGTCAACCCTGTGGCAATTTCTGAAGATGGACTCAACCCTTCAGAGTTGTGGATAGCTCCTCAGCCGGCACCTCTGCACCAACAGTCACTGGATGTGGACCACAGGGAAGGGGTGTGACTCTGAGCAAGGTGGCTCTCTTCGGCTAGAAGGAACCCCCAGTGTGGTGGGGCAATGGAATCTTTATTCCTGAGGGGGGCAGCACATCTAGCAGCCATCCACCCACCCTTCTCTTATATGAAAGATTAAAATATGCTGTGTGTGTGTGTCATTGACAATATAAACTGAAGCTATGTGCTTCCAGGTATCTTGGAGCCCCGGTCTTTGTGACCCCTTTCACCTCCTAGAACTTCCTGGTCATAAGCACTGCTGTGACCACAATGAGGTTTATTTCTTTCTTCCTTTTTTTTTTAAAAACTTTTGCTGGCCTTTGTCCTTTCTGTTTTGATTCTGTTAATACTACTTTTCAAACACTGACTATGAACCAGGCCCTGTTCTCAGGAATACACATGGGTTACCTTTCATGAATTATCTCATTTAATCATCGCCTCAATCCTATTTAGAAAACATGAACTCATCATTTTATGGATAAGAAAGGAGATTCAGAGTGAACAGCGTTTCCAAGCCACACATCTAGTTCTTATTGAAATCTGTGTGTGAAGCCACATCTGACTCCAATTTCCATATTCTTAGTGATGATGCTCCTATTTGCCCCCTGCTCCTTGACCTCTACCTGCCTCAGCTAGGGGTCAATAAGTACATTGTGGGCCACAGTTCATAACCAAGCCCTGTTACTGACAACATATATTCCTAAACAATGCCCTTTTTGAGGCACATTTTCTAGAACCGTTTTGTTAAAGTTATGACCATTTCCCTATGTATTCCCACTATATTCAAACTCAAGACTCTCTTGTCCTCTGAAGCCTCAGTTGAAAACCCCCTTCCAACTATACTTTTCCTAGGTATTCCAGACCAAAATAATCTCCCTGTGCCTAACAAAACTCTCCCACTAAGGAGAACTATTTATCCACATTTTTACTGCTTAGTCTCTGCATGTATGTGTCTGTTCCCCTCCACAGATTGTAAACACCATGTACATTCTTTTACAGCATTATCCTACATAATGTATGGTACATAGGAAACGTCTCAAAGCACATCACATTAATTTTGGATTAGTGTCATGAATTGCTTAGAAATATGCCTTTGGGCTCTCTTCCTCTTCCTCATTCTCTAATAATGATGCAACTTTTTTCTTTTCTTAGGTTTCCCATAATGCTGAAATACTTATCTAGCCTATATATTTTTCATTCTGTACTTTTTCTCTGTGTAACTCTGCTTTGGGAACCCCAGTCAGTTCAGTTTATTAGTGGTGATCAACCCAGCTGGTTGTTATGTGCCGTATAAGGCTAACAGCTGTCACAAATACAATCAAACTTTTTTTTTTTGTTGCTATGATGAAACTCAATGGATCCAGGGAAAATATTTTACGAGTTACTGCATATTGTAATTAAAAAAAAAACACAACTTTTAGAATGGTTTAAAATCTTACTGCATAAAGTGTGGTCCATGGACCAGCAGTATCCGTATCACCTGGGAGCTTGCTAGAAATGCAGAACCTCATGCCCGACCCAAGTATGCTGAATCAAAATCTGTAGTTTAACAAGATTTTCAAGTGAAAGTTATGAATATTTAAGTTTGAGAAATACATACTAGTTTAAAAACAATTTAATGGCAGCTCTCTATATACAATAAAAGGCTATGTCTGATGCTTCATATAGTTCTAATCACCCCGATAATCCTGAAAGTAGGTGAGGTAGTATTTCTATTTTATAGATGAAGAACAGGCTCGTGTGTTAACTTACCCCAAATCATCCTGCAGCTAATCAGTAGCGCTGATCTTGGAACCCAAAGCTGTCTGCTTTCCAATTTTCTCTTGCAGTGTAGACTTGCTTTCCAATTTAATATTGCAGTTGTAGCAGACGCTCCCAGCATCTGCCTGTCCCTGAGGCCTTACCATCCCAGAGTGCACTGGCTGCATTAGCCCGCCCACCCCCAGCAGTTCTCAATCACTGACTGATAGGAGTTGGTGTTTAAAGGCCCCAGCCCCCTGAGCCCCCGGGTGAGATATTTCGATGGTCTGTGGTATCTCACTGTATCTCAGGGTCTCTCAACATGATTAATTTCCAGTCAATCTCCGGGATAGCTGGCTTAATCATTCACCTTTTTATTTGGCTGTCTTCCCTTCCCTCCTTCGCTGCATCTCCCAATAATCTATTGATAATTATATCCTAACTCAGGCTCTGCTTCTGGGGGGAATCACCATTAAGATAGCAGAAAAGTCAGCTCGGTTCCTATGAGGAGTCCTCACAGCACAACAAAAGAAGTACTGATAAGTGAACAGTTAACCTTCTTCGTAAATAGCAAGTACAACACCTTTAAGAATAGTGAGATCTTTTTATGAGACTGGTGACAGCTGAAAGATGAGATTCTGGGGTGTTTGCTAAAATGAAGTGTCATAACGGAATCCAAGGAAAAAAAACTGCGTTAACTCTTTCCCCAGCAGAAAGAGAGAAAATACCATTTTCCTGCTTCTATAAGAATCTGTCATATACACCTTTGGACAGAATCTCTTGCCTCTTATTTACAACAATTTTCTGTGGGAGGAATAAACAAGTGTCATATATATGTACTTTCTGTCCTTCAGTCCTTCCTGCATAAAAAAAAGGGAAATCTCATCATGTAAATTGAATATCCTATCCTGACTGTGACATAGATAAACGAAGCAAAGGCTTTAAAGATGCTGACGTTTGTATTCAGGGCCAGCTTCATAGACATGTGACAGAAGGGCCCTGCACTTGGTTTCATGCTCTGCTGTCACTGCCCTGAAATTCTTAATTATTGTGAACAAGGCACCCCAGGCTTTCATTTTTCACTGGGTCCTGCAAATTATTTAGTCAGTCCTGCTTGTACTAATTAAAAACTGTTTAACATGGGTTTTCATGATCCAAGAAAGAGAAGGCCAGCTCAGAACTATAAGGGCTGAATAACAAAGTATCTTTGGGGAAAAACAGAACCGGCAAAAGTTGGAGTTTCTAGAAGCTTCTGAGAGTTGTCATTAAAGGTTTGTTGCATAGAGTGCAGGAGGAAAGCAGTGGCGCCTGATGGGCTCCAATACTTCTCAAACTGACACATGCATAGGAATACACATAGGAGTGATCGCTGAGACCGCGTGTTTGGCTTGCAGCCAGCAAGGAACATTCAGGTGACCCAGGAAATTAGGGGCAGATGGAGTGAGCCGCTTCAGCTGGTTTTCCAGCATCAGGCAAGCAAACCGACTGTGTTCCTAATGATACCCAGCATTTCCCAAACATTTACTCTGTGCCTGGCCCTGTCCCAGGGTTCTTATTAATCCTTACGACAGCCCTATAGGGCAGGTGCTGTTACTGTCCCTCTAGCGTGAGCGGGAAATCTAGGACAAAATGAGAGTGAGTACCTGGGCGCCTGCACCCAGCAAGTCCTGGAGCCCAGAGTCAGCCTCAGAGCCCAGATTCTTATTTACAACATGTAGCTCCCCTCCCCAGGGAAACAGCTTTGACTTCAAGAGGCGTGATGAGCAGAGGCTGTGCTGAAAGGTCCCCAGTGGAGAAGAGGAAGGGGAAAGGCTGTGTGGCAGTGATGCAATCCTGAGCACCACAGTTCCCCATTCCCCGATGGGTGGGGGAGGGGAGGGGCAGCAGAAAATAAATAGCCCTAGACCTTGCGGAGCCTGTGCGGGGTTTTCCTGGGTCCATTTTGCTTCACAAGCACATTTTCCATGGATTTTTACCAGGTTGCGTCAGGTTGTCTGTGGGCCTCAAACTGGTCCTTTGAGTCTGCGTTTCAGCTGATGTGGCCCGAAGGTTTTGGGGGAAGGGAGGGGGCTCAGTGGAGTGGCTGGGCTCCTGCTGCTTCCACCTGCGTTGCTGTACTTTCACCTGTTTTAATCTAAATATAGGGATTGTGGGTAAGAATTTGTTTGCAAAAAGATGAGGTTCTGTGGCTAAAAATAAAAGTTTAAAACCCATGGCGCTGGTTGAGCTGTCGCTTCAAAACTGGGAGAAAATGAATTAGCTGTAGGTGGCTCACATGCCCCTCTGTCCCCTCCCCCAAACACAATTCATGTTCAACCTGGACCGTTAGAGAAAAAATGATATTGGTATTTGGTGATCCTGGAACCCTGGGCAGAACATATTTGAATCTTCTCTATGCCAAATGTTTGCTCACTGGCTGTGAGTTTGTTCCTATCTTAAGAAACATTTCTTTTAATTGTTTGCACTGGGTCCTTCCAGAAAAAAGAAAAAAAAAAAAAGAAAGAAAATCCTTACTGGGCCAACTCCGAAGGTTTTACATGAAAGTGGCTCTGACCTTCCTTTCATGCAGGAGCTGAAATTAATTGTTCCTTCCTCTGCTTTCCTACAGCACCCAACAATTATTTGACTATCTGTTATGTGTAAAACACAATGGAGCCTGACTTCAAAAGACTCACAATCCAGTAGGTAAGAGGAACTAGGTAATTCTCTGTACCTGTCATGGCAGTTGTTATTTTCTAACTCGTGATGGCGAGGCAGGAGAGAGCACTGATGGCCATAAGACATGCGGAAATTGGTGAAAGAACGGCACCCAGGTTTGGCCTTTGAGAAATTACAGTTCACTAGGTGGATATGTATGTTTCCCAAGAGCAGATGAAATAACTGCTGTGTAGAGCTTCCAGTAACATGAACAAGACCCACAAACCTTGAAAAGCCTTTGAGGATGGGAATTTGGTTTTTCAGTATTTTCCTGGAAAGCCCTCTTATCCCACCTACTCTTCAACATCTGGGCCTATACATCAAATTTATAGACCTTTGTTTATGATTCAGATGGACTTCTGTATAGTTCAGCTCAAGTTCGATGATGAAAGTCCACCTTCCCTATTGATATAATTCTATTAAAATATGTGTGAGCAGGCAGTGTTTATGGAGAGTCAATGTGTGTGGCCATCTGGGACAATCTAATTATTTACTAGAAAATATATATTTAAAAATTTCCAGAAAATCCAGGGTTATAAATGTGTATCCCTACCTCTTGTTTACCAGTCCATTCAGGGGATTAAAAAGTGCACCTGTTATAAAAGCAAACCATTGCACAAAACTCTGACTCGCCAATTGGCAATGTTCCTTCAGATAATGTGGATTGGAAAAGAGACCAAGTATAATTTGACATGTCAACTCTGAAACTATTGCTGTTTTCATTTCCTGTACCACACCTCCCCCCACCTTTAAAAAATTATTGTGATAAAATTAAAATAACATAAAATTTACTATCATAACCTTTTTTTAAATTATAAAAATAAGTTCCTAGAATGTGAAATATGAAAATCAAGACCCTTGAAAGTTCTTCAATTTGTAGCTTTTGTTTTTCCCACTAGCACATAAAATACCACAATACTTCAGAGCCTCCTATTTCTCCATCTCCCATCTTACAGAATGTTTCCTTGTCCTCTTTTATCCTAAATGAATCTCTTAAATAGCAATGAGTATAACATATCAACCAACCACCTGTGAACTCACTAACCCAACAGTTAGAATGGTTTTAGGTATTCAACTAGTTGTAACTCTTGAGTTAGGTTACAAATTATGTTTTCAAAGGACTCTAGGGTATGTCCCAAATCTTGATATTAAGTTAAGAATAGTAACCGCTCTTTCCACAAATACTTTTTAGCATGGTTTTAAATTCATTCAGAGCCTTTTTTGCAAAATGGGGGAAGATATTTTCTCTTCTGTATCAGGAACTACGTAACAACTAAAGCAACATGAATCAGGGTGGGCTGTCTCAAAGTAGCTCCCCCGTCACTGAGGAGATTCAAGCAGAGGCCAGATCACCCGCTGGGAATGCTGTGCAGAGGCAGAGGAGTGTTGGGAATTTATAGACTTTGGGGTCTTGACTCAGACGACTAACACTGGTAAAGTACACAATAGTAATAAATAGGAATTTCTTCCCTTTTGTTTTTTGTCTCTTGGCCATCCTATTGAATCTGCCACGTAAAACGTGAGTAATCTCTTAGGTACAGAGTAGAGAAATCTTCCTTATCTGTAGGGCACTGGGTATCCATGAGGCATGAGAGGATACTGATTGGGAGTCAGTCGTGGGGTATAGTTACTGGTGGGTGATAGTTACCTGACCTTTGACAAGTCACTTAGGCTTCCAGGGCCTCCTCATTCTCAAGTACGAACCCAGGAGACAAGTATAGATGTCCACCATGTTGCTATGTGATCATTCCTTGCCACCCTCCCCTGCTCCCTGGGCCACAAAACTTGTTAAATATTCTGTTTCTTTCAGTTTCTGATCACTAGTAAATAGCAAATAATCCAATAAACCTTCTTCACATTTTTAAATTACTTTCTATTGGAGTATAGTTGCTTTAAAACATTGTCTTAGTTTTTGCTGTACAGCAAAGTGAATCAGTTATATGTATACACTAGCCCCCAATTTTTAGATTTCCTTCCCATTTAGGTCACCACAGAGCACTGAGTAGAGTTTCCTGTGCTATACAGTAGGTTCTCATTAGTCATCTATTTTATACAGAGTAGTGTATATATGTCAATTCCAATCTTCCAGTTCATCCCACCTCCCCTTCCCGCCTTGGTCCATAAGTTTGTTCTCTACATCTGTGTCTCTATTTCTGCTTTGCAAACAAGTTCATCTGTGCCATTTTTCTAGATTCCACATATAAGCAATATTATACAATATTTGTTTTTTTCTTTTTGACTTACTTCACTCTGTATGACAGTCTCTAGGTACATCCACGTCTCTACAAATGGCACGATTTCATTTCTTTTTATGGCTGAGTAATATTCCATTGTATATATGCACCACATCTGTAACCTGGGTGTGGGGGGTCTAACTAGCAGTCTCTGCCACAGTAACTAAGGACCAGTACTCCCATTCTCTAGTTGCCCAGTGTAATCGCACTCCCAAGTTTTACCTGGTATATAATCATACAGAATAAAGGCGGCAGTTCCTCACCTCCCTTACCACTGAACATGGCCAGATAACTACGTCTGGCTAATAAACTGTAAGCAGAAGTGTTAGGTGGTTGTTTCTGGACCTTCCTTAAAGGACAGTGGGAGGGTGCCTTTTGAACTTCCTTCATCATATTTTTTTTCCATCTGCCGGCCAAAATGAGAATTTGAGGCTCGAACTCCAGCCACTACAAGGGCCACACTCTGGGGAGAGCAGAGCATTGAGGTGAACGGGCCTTGGGTGCCTGGATTGCGCCACACAGCCCTGGACTGCCCTCCTTCAGACTGACGCCTGGCAGGAAAATGCATTTCTGTCTCATTGAAGGCATTCAGATACAGGTATCCCCCAGTTTTTTGCAAGTTTGCTCTACACCACTTTGCTTTTACAAAAGATCTACATTTGTAGGTTTTCACTAAGCAAAAAAAAAAAAAAAAAAAAAAAAATCCAAAGAAGATTTTCACTTTTACAAAAAAAAGATGAAAATTGAAAATAGCATTCCGTGTTTGTTTCGCAGTAGCTGTTACAGGGGCAGCTCCCACCCCAGACAGCCAGAGTGGCACCGCCAAGCTCCTTCCCTGGGAACTACACTCAACCTCTCAGCATCAAGCCGCCAGAGCTCTGAACTATAAGCATGTGTTCTTTATCCTGATTTATTGTGAGCATCTGTTTGCAAGATGTGTCCTAAGGTAATTGCTTCTTTGCTTTACACCATTTCAACTTATGAAAGGTTTCATAGGAACGTTCTACTGTCCCATGGCAGGGGAAACCTGTATTCATTTAATCCTTACTGATATAGTTTTACCTGAACGGTTTTTTTCAGAAGGCTCCTCAGGAGTCACTTTCCAGGTAGAATTTTGGAAAGCTAGAGTTGGGACCCTTTTGCTGAGGAGGTAGGTCTGGCTGCTGTTGTTTGCCCCACCAAGGATGTGGGCCTGGCCTTCGCTGCCCAAGTGCAGCGTCAACACTGTGGCGAAGTGACGGGGGTCGGACGTAGTTACATTCCAGCTGAGAGTTGTTGATGTTTTCCCAGGGTTAGTGCTGCTAAAGCCGCCTGCGGTCTAGCGATCCTTAATAGCTATGTGTCCGACTCACACTCCTATTTTAAAGATGCTCCTCCGTTCTCATGGTTTTCCTGAAAAGTCCAGAGTTGATCCCTAATACAAATGTTATGTAAATAGTTGCTGGCATGTGGAAAATTCAAGTTTTGCTCTTTGGAACTTTCTGGAATTCTTTTTCCAAGTATTTTCAATCTGCAGTTTGTTGAATCCATGGATGCAGAACCCACGGATACAGAGGGCCAACTGTGTTCATATGTAGGTCATGGCTGAGCATACTCTTAGTCATGGTGTTGTCAGGTTGGAGCTTTTGATGTAAGGAACAAAGGCTTAAAAACCTTCTTTCCACATACACTGAGTAATCGGACTGTGACAGGTTGCATCCTCACCTCTCCCCTAGGTCAGAAGACCAAGGAAGAACCAGAGTTAGATTAAGGAGGTCATTAGAAAAACATCTAGGTTAGGCTTTGATCTAGGAGAATAAGAGTTGCTCTTATGGCTTACTTTTGGTCCATCTGGACCACCTGACTAGGTTTAAGCCCAAACCTCAGCCCTTTTGGAATTGAACTGGGATGAATGCAGCTTGATAGGAACACAAAATCCCTCAGAGATGCCTTTCCATCCTTTATCTGCCAACACAGTTTTCTGCTGGTTCCCTTGTTCTTGCCACCTTCGTGATTTGACAAATATTCAAATATACACTGTTCAAGCCACTGCCTCAGATAGCAAAGAAAAGATATGAAAGTAAGGGATAAAATAATAATTTTCCTATATGTGCCCCTCAACCTTTTCAGGACGAACTATTCCTTCCCCTTCACTTCCTTTGCACTTCAGTTAGGGCCCTTTTGTACACCACTTGTTGTGCACCTGGTGAGACTGAGTTGTCCTTTCCTTGGACCCCAGATGCAGGTGCAATAAGGACTCAAAGGCTATAGAGCTTTGTTGTTATGTCCCCAGATTAAATGGCATATAAATTTTGATGGAGCCCTGACGGGCCATCCGACCAGCCGTGAAAGTACTAGGTATTCTTCACCTTCAAGGCCCTTTTTAGGTTGTTAAGGGAAGGTACCTGGTAGAAGTAATGAAGGCACTGAGGACAGACATCTATTTGAAATGTAGATGTCTCTTCAAAGGTGAGGCAGTTTGTTTGGTATTTGCTATTATTGTGTATTTGCTTTGTCTTGCTTGCTAGTTTGTTTTGGTTTTCCTTGCATTGTTTTAGGTTTCAGTGAGCCCACCTAAAGAACTACATGGCACACCCTCTCCCCTTAATTCCCACTTTCCCCCTTTAAATCTAAGTAAATGACAGCCAAGGTAGGACACACGGAAAATGGGCCAAGGATACTACTGAGATTGATTTAGTTTGGGTTCTAAAATGGAGGGGCAAGAGGTGACCTGATGGTGAAGGTCTATCCCATGTCACCGATTTAGGATACCACATCCGACTTTAGGGCCAACATACAGACCAAGAGCAATGTTCCATGACCTAGAATAGTCTTTTACATATTATTTCTCAAAACCTGGTGTGGCCACAATAGATGGCTACTCAGGGTTTGTATTCCAACCACTGATTAAGAATTCCCTTTCCAGCTTCTCTAACTGCACAATTCTGTTCACATCATCTGGTCTATTAACCATTCCACTAACATCCCCTGTTTACATCCAGCAACACACCCTGTATTCATTAGACAGTTGATGAAACTGATGTGGGTTCAGAATAAGGAACAAGGCCATTCCAGGCCTTCTATCACTTTATGCTGATACTGTTCCAATATGCAGAGAATATAGCAATTAATACTCTTTCCTTAGTTGCTATTTGAAATCAAAATAACCTCACAATTTGAGAGAAAATAAAGTTACTTCATATAATTTCAAAGCCTTCTAAAAATCTCAATTACTTTTAGAAGATACATTTTTAACAGTATTGAGAAATTTACTGGACAGAAGCCATGGCTTAATCTGACTTTCTGGGGCACAAGAGTGCTGAGGAATTAGTTGAGGGAGAGGAAGAGGAGAAGCATTACTATTGGCTGAGAATATCCAGTGTACTGACGACTATCTAGGAAAGTTGTGAGCAGAAGAGAATTGCCTGAAAGGAAATGGAAAATCCAGTCAAGGACTGCTACCCCTTAGGCACATGGGAAGACACAATTAGAATACTCTGATCTGCTTTCTTCCCTCTAGGTTTTAGTTAATAGCAAAAGTAAGGAGAGATACTAGGCATCATAATCCAAGCATCTCAAATTCACTTACCCTAAATCCTAAAGCTGCTTTAATGACAGCTATTACTTATACCGGTCCAAAAACGAGTGTATACTCTAAAAATTCTTTCTCTTCAAAGACTTCAAAATGAAAAGACACGCAGCTGTCTGAGCCCATTATTTCTTGCAAGCTTTTCTAAAGGAGTGTCCTGAATCACACATATTGGGGCACCATCCTGAAGTATTACTGTATCCCAGAATTCCCTGTTGGGCCACTAAAAGCAGAAGCTTTACCAAAGTTGCTGGCTTCTTTCATTCAATGAAAGTCTCATTCTTAGTATTCTGGTTATTTAAAATCTCTCTCCAAGCGTGGATGCTCAGGGGCCAGGGCACTCATTTGATGTGGGTCAGGAAAGTTTAACTTAAGGAAAAATTAACTTTCAAAAATTGTTTACTTGGGAGGAGCTTCAAGATGGCGGAAGAGTAAGACGTGGAGATCACCTTCCTCCCCACAAATACATAAGAAATACATCTACGTGTGGAACAACTCCTTCAGAACACCTACTGAACACTGGCAGAAGACCTCAGACCTCCCAAAAGGCAAGAAACTCCCCACGTACCTGGGTAGGGCAAAAGAAAAAAGAAAAAACAGAGAAAAAAGAACAGGGACGGGACCCGCACCTCTGGGACGGAGCCGTGAAGGAGGAAAGCTTTCCACACACTAGGAAGCCCCTTCGCGGGCAGAGACTGCAGGTGGCGGAGGGGGGAAGCTTCAGAGCCGCGGAGGAGAGCACAGCAACAGGGGTGCGGAGGCCAAAGCGGGGAGATTCCCGTACGGAGGATTGGTGCCGACCGGCACTCACCAGCCCGAGAGGCTTGTCTGCTTACCCGCCGGGGCGGGCGCGGCTGGGAGCTGAGGCTCGGGCTTCGGTCGGAGCGCAGGGAGAGGACTGGTGGCGTGAACACAGCCTGAAGGGGGCTAGTGTGCCACAGCGAGCCGGGAGGGAGTCCGGGGAAAAGTCTGGAGCTGCCGAAGAGACAAGAGGCTTTTTCTTCCCTCTGTTTCCTGGTGCGCGAGGAGAGGGGATTAAGAGCGCTGCTTAAAGGAGCTCCAGAGACGGGCACGAGCCACGGCTAAAAGCGCGGACCCCAGAGACGGGCATGAGACGCTAAGGCTGCTGCTGCTGCCGCCACCAAGAAGCCTGTGTGCGAGCACAGGTCACTATCCACACCCCACTTCCGGGGAGCCTGTGCAGCCCACCACTGCCAGGGTCCCGGGATCCAGGGACAACTTCCCCGGGAGAACGCACGGCGCACCTCAGACTGGTGCAACGTCATGCTGGCCTCTGCCGCCGCAGGCTCGCCCCGCACTCTGTACCCCTCCCTGCCCCCGGCCTGAGTGAGCCAGAGCCCCCAAATCAGCTGCTCCTTTAACCCCGTCCTGTCTGCGCAAAGAACAGACGTCCTCAGGCGACCTACACGCAGAGGCGGGGCCAAATCCAAAGCTGAACCCCAGGAGCTATGGGAACAAAGAAGAGAAAGGGAAATCTCTCCCAGCAGCCTCAGGAGCAGCGGATGAAATCTCCACAATCAACTTGATGTACCCTGCATCTGCAGAATACCTGAATAGACAACGAATCATCCCAAATTGAGGAGGTGGACTTAGGGAGCAACGATATATATATACTTTTTTCCCTTTTTCTCTTTTCGTGAGTGTGTATGCTTATGCTTCTGTGTGTGATTTTGTCTGTATAGCTTTGATTTTACCGTTTGCCCTATGGTTCTGTCCGTTTTTTAATTTTTTTTTTTTAGTATAGTTTTCAGCACTTTTATCATTGGTGGATTTGTTTTTTAGTTTGGTTGTTCTCTTCTTTCTTTTTTTTAATTACATAAAACTATTTTTTAAACGATTTTTGGGGTTTTTTTACAAAAAATTTTTAATAATTTTTTGTATTTTATTTTAATAACTTTATTTTATTTTCTTTTATTTTATCTTCTTCTCTCTTTCTTTCTTTTTTTCTCCCTTTTATTCCAAGCCATGTGGATGACAGGCTCTTGGTGCTCCAGCCAGGCATCAGGGCTGTGCCTCTGAGGTGGGAGAGCCAAGTTCAGGATATTGGTCCACCAGAGACGTCTCAGCTCTACGTAATATCAGATGGCGAAAATCTCCCAGAGATCTCCATCTCAAGGCCAAGACCCAGCTCCACTCAACGACCAGTAAGCTACAGTGCTGGACACCCTATGCCAAACAACTTGCAAGACAGGAACACACCCCATCCATTAGCAGAGAGGCTGCCTAAAATCATAATAGATCCACAGACACCCCAAAACACACCACCAGACGTGGACCTGCCCACCAGAAAGACAA